ACTAATTCAATCTTCTCCTAATCAATGGATAACGAATAAGGAAATACAATACTCCTATGGATGGTTAGGAGTTAACTGTCAGTCAACGTCAAACTTCATATTAACTCAAGGAGAAATTCTCCTCTACGATGGAAGAGGGTTAATCTCTAACCTTGAAGATATAAAAGACTGTTCGACACAAAAGGGTGAATGCATAACGAATACTAGCAATATCATATGGAATAGCAATGATACGAACAATCATTGTTTATATCGAAAGATCGGAAGATTCAAGGCTACAAAGTATAACAACCACTTCATCATCGATGAGATACAAGCATCGCTTATAATTGATAAACCCCCCCCCCCTATATTAAACACCAAAAATTGTAGATTCACCTCTCCAATTTTAATGCAGGGCGATATAGTTATTGAACTAGACGTTAAAGATGACTCGAACTCTACTACAAAATTCAAACGAAGAGTAACAAATAAACTATTGATGATGGAAAAGTCTCCGGATAGAAAGTACGACCCTGAAAACGTAAAACTTCAATACCTTTCTGATTCACTAAGACAAGAATTTCTTCAACAACTCAAAGAAACGCAGCAGAGAAGTTGCCAAAACAGAAATAACTTATTATTTTTTATCAAATGGCTATCAATCAGCAATCCTACCCTTGCCACGAAACTAATACTTCAAAGAAACGATGTGATAGCTAAAAGAATTAACGGAAATTTGATGGTGGCAAATCAGAACAACCAACAATCGAATTCAAAGGAGATTTAATAAGTAAGTTTGAAATTGAAAGAATTAATGCAGAACTGGAAATCCTAACTCAAACCCAAAAAACAATTAATTCAATACCACATCAAATGAAGGATGAACTCTTTTGGCAAGAAATCTCCGAAGAAGGAGAAGAAATTACCAAACAAATGGAAAGGGAATTCAATTTCTACCGATAGAAGAATTTGAAAACGTGATAACACATTGGAAATTGATTTTTATCTGTATAATTATCGTGACAATATTAACTATTTTAGTTATTATTAAGTGGAAATTTAAATTAGTTCAATCCCTCCTTTGTAATACTTCAAAACGAAATTCAAATCAAGCTATCATCATTACTCTCCCTATAGAATCACCACACACTCAATTCCTAACTAAAGAAGAAATCCCACCTATTAAACTCCGTACATTTACCTATATACCTCAAAATCACTCTCTCAAAATTACATCTTAAAACAATCTCTCTCGCCCTTTGGGAGTGTCGCGAATTATAATTTCGCGAAAACTTCTATAAATCATCTCTCCTTTTTAAATTGTAAACAATCCTACGGTATTCACACATGTAATTAATCTCCTTTTTGTAAACACCTCCAATTCTTCATGCATGTAATTTTTCTGTAAAATTGAAATTAGCTTTCATTTTAATCTCTTCGTTGTAAACACTTCCAATTCTTCACACATATGATTTTTATGTAAAATTGAAATTAGCTTTCATTTTAATCTTTTCTTTGTAAACACCTCGAATTCTTCACACATGTGATTTTTATCCTAGACACGCCCAATCCTCACTCATATAAATTCAATTCTAATAAACAAAAAGGAATCATTGTCATTATTGTCGACTATAGTCCCTCATCACCAAGTTAAATTTCCTCCGATTTTATAAGGTCTATTTCTACTGTTCAGGTTACTGATAATACGTTAAGTAAAAATAAAGATTTATTAATCTTACTGCTGTATTACAATTATTCGAGTATCAACCAGACAAACCTTTCACGACAGCCCTCTATTGACATATGAATGACTAATTCCTCTTTTTTTTTCCGGCTGTTTCGCTGAGCTTTTGCGCAGGAAAGAATAGCACTTCGGCATTCTTTAGACGATTCAGAGGAATTCGATTCTTTCGTTCACTTGTTCGTAAATAATCCACCTTGTTTTACCCGGTGTTGTTCTTTGCTTCTTTACTGAACGAATGAACCCATGTTACTAGTGTTAGTCGTTGTCATTGTTCTTTCCTTGCTATTCCCAATTTGGATCCTTCACCATCTGTCTATCTTTTCTCTTTGTTCAATAAAGGACATCTCTGTCTGTAAAAATTACGTACACACACATACATATACAAAGGGATGAGGAGGAGAGAGGAGCTCACACTTATTTCACTTGGACTCGACTCCTTGCATATTTCTCCCTGCTCTCCCAGGAGAATCACTAGGGAATCCATTCAGTAGTGTAGCTGGTCCATTCATTTGCTCATTTCCTTTCGTTTGTCGGCAAAGTGCACCTTTTTTGCAAACAGATTTCCTCTACACCGACAAACTGATTGGATGAACAAACGAATGGTTGCAAAAGGGAACTTGTAAACAACTTTAAATTGGGTTTTCTTGTGGGTTGAGGAATTCTTACATGTCTTCGTAGTGCACTCGCCATACACATGCACACATACATGCGCGCAGACAAAAAACGGTTCGGGACGGTCACTAATTATGCGGGAGCTGAAACACTAACGAAAACATGATAAAGCAGCAGACCGTGGAGCAAAAAGTAGATGGAAATGTGTAATTTGAAATGTACTTCAAGAAGTTAGTTCTAGTATAAGATAACTCCGGGAAGTTTGTATCTCGGCTTGTAATGTTCCATAAGCTATTGTAACGGAGATCCGAGAATTTGTGGTTGAGATTAGAGAGGAGTGGGCGTGACAGACGCATGTGTTATTATGTGCGTATTTGTAGATAGAGACTGGGAAGCATGTGTGTTCATTAAGAAGCCAAGTGGGACACTTGGGACACCGTGCATGAATCAAGCAAGAGGAGCTGACAGCTTTTGTCTGCATCAACTAAAGCGGAATTTTTCGGATTTAGCATGTAAATCATCTATAAACACTTCGTTCTTCAGTAAATGAAATCACCGGCAAACCTATACCTACAGTTCCCTTGTCCTCCCGCTGATCCCTTTAGCTACAGGTTCTGTTAGAGATTTCAAATGACGTACAAATGACAGAAACTACGAACTGTTTATTGTAAGATTGGTAGGAATTTAATGCAAGCAGTAAATGATTCCTTTCATAGCTTGAATTGAAACGCAATTTCAATCAGTAAATTTCATGACTAAGAGAACTATGAAATTGGGGAGATCATCACTGAAGAATAAATTTCAATGTTCACTGACAGTGTATTGGTTTAAAAGATAATCTTTTGAACTACTTTAATCAAGCCATAGTTGCAATTCAGTAAGTTGAAGGAATCCTACAACGAATATATTACGAAATAAGCACCAATAATATTCACAGAATTAGATATATTGTTTCAAGAAAAAAAAAGAAAGAGGTTACTTAAATAAGCTAACATGTTTTTTTGGTCTGTTTTTGTTTAACAGCTTTAGTGGTCGTTCTTCTTAGTTCCCACTCTCAGATCGACAAGATCCTGCTCTCCCATTTTTCTATTTGAAAGAGATCCGCATTCCTACCTTGCAAAGTTGTCATCACGGTCAGCCGTAGGAGTGCCTTCAAGAAATAGAGACTTCAGTCAAAAGTTAAAGGAAAGTTCTTGCAAACTGTCTTGCTTGGCAGATAGGAAACTGCCCACAGTCCCTTCTTAGGACAACAAACACATTGGGTAGGCAAGTGCTATCTACAGCAGGAATTCATGTAAAACAGTTAACAACATGCTAACATATTGTAGCGCCCCAGGTCATCTCAAGAACTATCTCCTTTTCAAGTATTCAACTACTCCGCATTTCTTAAAACATCTCAAGCACACCATCAAAACAGCTCAAATCCTGCAGTCGCACACTTTTTTTAAATTCTTCTGAAACTTTATTTCGGCTACGACAAATTCCCACGAACATAATCCGCTGCATGAGTAACGCTGGAACACTCATAATTGATGTGTTTATTTGATTAGTATATTACAGTACAAAATGGCCCCAATGAAAAGCTGAGAAACAAGGAAAACCAAAAACTTCTTTCAGTGATCAATACGCAAAATGATCGATAACAGCTGCAAGCTGCAGAACAAAAACGTAATCAAAATATTAATAGCAAGGCCTTTCAACCAACAATACAAAAACTAGTGGCACTCGATATCCACAAGAGACCAGTAAGACTGGTTTCAGACGCCAGGTGAATATCCACTCAACAATTTCCAATGATGCTACAGCTAAATCGTGCGCAGTAAAAAAAAATCTCAAAATTTGAAAGAAACAAAGACAGATGCTACAAATATAAACATTCAGATATAAATAAAATAAATGAAGCAATAAATTTTACAGAGAGTCCCAAAATGACGAAGAGCCGAATATTTCATTATTTTGAAAATTAGAGGAAGATGCTTGAACATTTTTATCAAGTACACCGGAAAAAACCGCCGTAACACAGAATGCAAAGTTGGAACAAAAACTAAACTGCAAAAAAAGATAAGCTGCCAAGCCTAAAATGGAAATACTTTGATTGGATTTCTGTTGTTATTCTATTAGTTCTACCAGCTGCGCAAGAACTAACCAGTACATCATCAAAAAAAAAAAAAAAAAAAATTCCAACTACTCTACAAAAATCCAATAAAAGTTGGAACTGAAAAAGAAAGTTAAATCAAGGTTACAAAAAAAGCACCGTATCACAAATCGAAAGACTCAGTACTTGAATGACCCAACACAAAACAATACAAAACTGAAGTCAGTAATTTCCTTCAGAATACAAATATCTAACACCATCACTACCGAAACACGGTGCACAATGTTCAAGAGATAATCTACTCACTTCCCGGGAAAATATTTTGCAACTGATAACAAAAAGCCATGATTAACATTATGCGTTATATCAATTTCCAAGGCACAGAGACACCACATAAATTCGTATGACATCATACGAAATCAGCATTAAATTTGAAAGCACATTCGAAAAAATATTGAATTAAAGTGAGCATGTCGACAAGACATGAGCCGTAGAAGAGATCCTGTTTTGGCTTGGCAGTAAACTGACCAGATCACTTAGTATTTATTCAGTAGTGAAGGCTGTAAATCAACAAGAGTCGTTAAAAAATAGTCCATCAACTACTGGATCAATGTCCATCGAAAGGTCACGACATAACTGCATCATACCGCACAACGCTGCACCCATTTTCTGAAAGCTCATCCCTTCAGAAACTTCGAAGGTTGACATATGTTCCAGAATGTTTTGCTCTAAGCAATGCTAAGACTTAAAATTCTTAAAATCCGAATCTACAATTATAATAAATCGGAATCTTATTCAAAATACTTACGGAAAGACCGGCAATCAAAAGCAAAAGGTTGCCAAAGCGAGATGTAGCCTCGGCTGGTGAAAGACGATTACTGAGATGAGCATAAAGTGCATTCTGAACAGATCCACGAGCTACAGCCAGTAAGGATGCAGAATGAGGCGTAAGATTTGCAGCACTCGGATCCAGTGCAATTATCGCCTTCAGTGCAACCATCTCGATTTCGGTAAATCCCAGACGTCGCATTGGGCTCAAAACAACATCCAGAATGTTTTTCTTTACAATCCTATAACATTTCACTACTTCAACTTTAAAAAATGGCAGAATTCCAAATCAAATATAAAATTTACTCATGAAATAGTGAGGCGTAAGATACACCTGGACATGACGCTCATTCCTGAAATTCATTTCCTTTCACCAAAAAAAATAAAAAAATAAATGAATTGATTAGATATTAAAAATGAATTTGAAAAAAAAATAAATAAATAAATAAACGCCTGCGGAATATAGTAGAAACGAACTCAATTCTGGACTCCAACAATATGATTTGTTTATCTTCACATTGCTCAATGATAATAACAGGTTTTTCACGATGGAAATAGTGCCCACTAGGTAGCAAAATTGTACTGCTGACCAACTCTGTATTACGCACAGTGTGGTATGCAACAACGAGAAGCGCAAATTGTGACACACAGTTATGAATTATCGATATCTGCAAAAGTCGGATTAGGGAAAAAATGTCCATCCAGATCCTAAAGTTGAGGTCTGAATTCAAAGGAAATGCGATTTCAGCTTTAATATAACTGAAATACTCTGAAAAATAAAACTCCGATTAAGTGTATATTGTAGAACACCAAACTAAACTTCTCGGAAACAAGATTTCATTCATATTCTTTAGTGGAGAGCGATCTGTCTCCTCTCCACTAATAATGCACCACACCACATTTCATTCTATGTGCTGCTTTTTGAAAGTTTATGAAGAGGAAAAACCTTTTCACTAGGTGTGAGATCGGCGATTGGCTTAAGTGTATTGGCATAATCAAAAAGCAATACAATGAGGCGCCTCAGATTTTCAAAATATTCTTTGCAGCCAGCAAGACCCAAAGACCCATCGAATATCAGCTAAAAGAAAACCTACAATTTTTTACGACGGTATAAATTTCTGACGATGAGGAAAAGCTGAATTCATAATACCCGAAGAATATGTTTTGACATAATGTATTTTAAAAAAAGAATTGAATCACGGCCAGTTACTAGTTCACTATACGAAAATATCCTGAAAAAGTCGAGCGAATGTACTACGCGGTGAGGAATAAGTGAATCATTCTATAAGAATAAAAATAATAAAACTTAGGGAAACATAATTTGAAATTCCACATTTATATTCAAAAGCAAATGAAAAAAAAAGACAAAAAACAAACAAACAAGCAAGAAAACATATCAAGAACACTTACAGGAGATCGTGAAACGATGAGTGAAGGGCGCAAAACAGCATCAAACAGAGTGATGGAAGCCTTTGTTATAACTGGATGAGCGTCTCGAAGCTGATTGCATATATGCTCAATTTCACAAAGTGTTGCCAAAACTGATTCGTCGCCGATAGGTACAGGACACTTTGGATGTCCTGAGGTGCTATTCATGCAAAAAGATCGGGTACAAGTTCGAACATCATCACTCACAGCGCTGTCTTCGGATGTAACACATGGTAATTCCCCGGATAGAGAATTTGATGACATCTTGGTGGTATTGTTTTCACTGCCACCTCTGCGCGGATTTTTTTGCCTGCCAGTTTTATCACGATCGGGACGAATTGCTGAAAATTCACTTATCTTTTGCAGATTGTTTTACAGTTACATGAAGAAAACGACTTCAATTACATTCAAATTGGGAGGGTTGTAGAGAGATAAATAGATAGATTGGTAGATAAACAGTATCTTTTTTTAAATAGTAGTATCAATTTTTTATTTTTAAGCATACTATTTTTAAGAATGTTTAGTCTCCATAAAATAGCACATTGAGATTTGACACGGCCACATAAGAATAAGAGGAAGTGAAAAAGGAATAGCAGAATAGATTGGTTAATAAAATTCTTAAAAAGATGTTAAATGACCACAGGAGCAAGTTTCCAAGTATTCAACGCAATGGACTTCGTGGTCAAAGGTTGGCACGATAAGCTGCTTCCTTCCTTCTGAATAGTGAAGTGCACTTTTATTCTTCGCGATCAAGAATTAAGATTAAGATCAATGTCATACGATGTCACTCACCGTCAGGTTCCATTCCTACTTGAAGGCACTTCTGGAAACGGCAAGATCGACAAACGTTACGACCAGCTGGAATTGTGTTCGTGTTATAACAGCAGAAACTAAGAATTTCGATTCATGAAATTAATAAACTTATTCTATTTTCATTCTTCAAGAAGTATAACAAAATATGAAAATATCGCTATCTTTAAACAAGTTATATTTTGATGCTGGATGTGCTACTCACCTTTATCAATTTTACACTTCTGCTCATAACGACACACGTAATTTTTCCCAGCACGAACCTGCAAAGCATTAAATAAGCAGGGAAAAGTATAACTTTGTTTCCATTCAATTTTCACGAACTGAATAAGCTCATATCATCACAAATATAGATTGTGCCACACTTTGTATGATGGTACATTCAATCGCATCAGCATATCACCAAAAAGAAGCCAGCTTTAAATCATAAATATTTGAACTTAAAACAATTCTATGCATTAACAAATGATGAACTAAAACAAACCAACTTACCGTTCTACGAAAGAAACCCTTGCAACCGAAACATGCAACAACACCATAGTGTCGACCACTTGCTTCATCATGGCAAACCGAACTGGAAAATTCTGTGCTCAGTGAGTCACTGAAGAATAACCGTACATGGTCAAAAGTCAAAAAACATGTTGTTCATGTCTTCCACATCAGTAAATACAGAGATATGGTTCTTCAAATCTAATAGTCTATATTATACTTTCCTATTTGCGCCAGAATCGCGAATATCAAGAATTTCATTGCATTTAAACTATTTACTATTACAACTGCTTGGAATAAAAGCGTCTTAAAGGAAAATTTGCCGCTATGTTTTTATTTATGTAATATTGCATTGGAAGATCAAGCACACCAAATACGTAAAGCCATAAATGTTACAATCTACTTAGCAACTTATAAAATTTAGGAAATCTTCTGATCTCTTCCAAAAGCAACTGTATAGTTATATATATATATTCAGTACCTAATACCTGGCTGTTTCATTCGGAAGAACTGTCGAATAATTTGATGGCAGTAAAAGTATGGAACAAATCATTGAAAGAACAAGCCTAAGTTAGTAATTACTTGAATTTGAAAAGCTGTAAGATCAATGGCATAGGACGGTTTAACAAAAAAGACAAAAGGTCATCCACTCATCAAGGACACTGAAGAGTGCAGTCCTGTTAGTGAGCAAAACTGCATGATCTGTTCCCTTTTTATTGTTTCAGCTGACGAAAATTTCATCACAATATCAAGACAGCACCATCATTTTCGTAAAAAAGGACAGCAAAAGTCGTGAATTGGTCACGAGGAGGAATCAAGAATAATGAAACTTCGTTATCACGGTTAATGCAATAATAAAAGTGAGAGATTCCATTACCCACCCGCATAAAATAGATCACAACTCCAACAAAGTTATCGCTCACAGAAATAAACATATGCAGGGAACACTCGAACTATTCATTTCATTGTGTAATTATTACGTTTCTAATAACGTTCTAACTCTTCAGTAAAGCAATTCAGTGCTCTCGCATCAACAAGGGTTTCGGAAAGAGAACTAGAGGTTTCAGTTCAGAAGCGCTACGATGAGAACTAAACCTATTTGTTATTCACTATTCTACACATTCAGCTTCTAACTTTATTTCTCTTCAGCGAAGAAGCACTGAAACAATATATCCGTCAACATAACTGCGAACGGTGCATACATTTTGATGAGCAGACCAAAAAGCGCTCGAAAACACAGAAAGGATTAGAAAAAAGTTAAACAGAATCTTTATTTACAGACAATGGCACTGTAACCAGAGAAAAATGAGTAATCTGAAGCAAGCAATGCATGAAGATCATGAACACTTAAATTCAAAAACTTGGGACGTTTATAACATTTTAAGTATATATTCGGATACAGCTGAAAAGAATGAGCAAAACGAATAAAATTAATAGATTACTTGTCACTGGGAGGGAGGAACTGGTTGTTCCGTTTGTTTGTTAACGTTAAAAAATGACCGACCAGATGGTTGGCTCGCCATCCACCAACGGGACTGAATGGTTTTCCATGGTATTTGTCGATTCATTTAATGCAGGTGACTCCGAATCACCGGGTTTCAGGATCGATTCGATGGAATAAGCCTGTTGTGACGAAAACGATGGCGACGTACTCCGATTACTACTACGCATGATTACTGCAACGTTGTTTGCAATGGCTGCGTAAGCGGCTGCTGCAGCTGCCGCCTCAGTCATTGCTGGCAGCCCACACTGATCAAAGACCGGACTCTCTTGCTCGGCTCCTCTGATCTGAAAAATGCTCCGCCCGCAAAATTTATGTGAAGAAAACGAAAAAGAAAACGTACTCTTATCCTGACACATACACACACGCATACGCACACACACACATTCTTTTACATACACACATACACATAGACGGCAACGATCAAAACAGCATCGGGGAAATCACTTGGAGTTTGGAGGAGTAGACTGGGGGGGGAAGCAGAGTAACAACGTTCTCCTAAAGTGAACTAAAAAATCGCTAATGAAAGTGTACCCTAATCTGTGTTCTCTTTCCCTGCCTATAAAGAACACCGGAATGCATACAGATGGTGGTTACTTAGGCTGATTCGAAGATCTGGGAAGAGGGTGGCTAACCGCCAACAAATAAGCTGTCAAATTGTAAAGTACGTAGCGAAAAGTAAAAACGAAGTCATCCAGCTGCCTGCACTTATTCCCTACTCTGGCTGCTTCATGCTAAAACTTATATATATGTATACCTGCTATATGTCTATGCTTAATTCTGTAAATGTATTCGAGATGAATGTACGCAAACTCCACAACTTTCTATATATAAATCTATAAATGATCTAAAATTGAGTTTAACAATACAACAAACCCAAACGCACAGAACAAACGGGTATTATTCGTACGCATGTTCGAAGATCACACTCCTCACCCCTCCCTTCCTATCCCATTAGGCGAGTGAAATTTGAAATAACAGCACTACTGCTAGTCCACTTCACGACAGCACAGCTTGTCCCTGTCCTCTTATCTTAAACCTGAACAGAGTTCTCAGAACAACACTTTCTCTCCCTCTCTCTCTCTCCTACCACCCTTGCCCATTGGCGGTCATAAACAGTTTGGGTCTGTTCCTTCCATGTTACTACCACTATCGTTGAAATATAAATACGAAGTATTGTTGCTTGCGCTGCTAATTAGTGCAATACTTCCAGTGCCCACATCTCCTTGCATTTGTACGATTTCAGTTGCTCTTTCATCCCTCCTCACCTATCTTTCTTTATTTCTGCTTTTGTTACTCTACCACTTTAGTTTGAGAACATCTGTCTACCCTCCACTGTGATTATGTAACTGATAGTGTTAACACATTAGGGGATACAGTCAACATGACGTGATATCCATTATATTCCGCACAAATATGCAGCAATTTTTTTTACTTCTAGCAAATTCAAAAATGTTGTGAGCTGACAAATTGTTTAGGATTCAGTATCATTTCATTCTCACCATCGCTCCATTTACGGAAAGAATGTATGACTTACATTATATAATGTCAGACCCGACAGTTATAATGAAGTATAAATGTCGAATTAAGCACTAATTTCTGATCCCAAAAATTTCAGAAATTTGCTCTTAAAGCGGTGCACAGTGTATCCATCAGAAAGCACTCACATAACTGAAGGAGGAAATATATCCGCAATGATTAAAAAAATGAACATACATTAAGCAGAACGTCATCATTTGGTATTCCAGGAATTTTGCATACCATTTAAAACACCCAATATGATATGGCGCTCAATATGAACGAATGATCTGGGAGCTCGGTGTACTTTTCAGTACAATGCAATTCTAGTGAGTAAAACCATACTCTACAAAGTTACTTCATTTTTTAAATTAATAACAATAGAAAGCGGAGAATTTATGAGGGTTAAGATCCAGCCAGATAAGAATCATAAAGTGGCTAACAAAACATAGTTTCAAAACATATGGAGAAACACTGCAGTACACAAAGCACGCAACACCTTTACTGCAGTACTCCCTGTTCCTATGGGATTTATTTTTCCGGAAACCGTCTTCTACTCTTATTCACCTATCTTCATCCTACTTATGCGCTTTCTAGACATACAACAAATGGAACAGTAACTGCATGGTAAGTTTTGACCGAATGCAAGTAAATCAACATTCCCAAAAGAATACATTTACTGTCAAATGCAATATTTCAATACTTATTTTTTTCTAACAAAAAATGCATCAATGTTTACACACATACACGAACATACAAACACACATGCATACAGACACACACACATATAGACACACATACATACGGACACACATACATACACACACACACAACCAAATGCAACAGGAGGAAACAGAACTATAATAAAATATAAACACATAATGTTTAATTCACGACTTTAATTGGCTACTTACGTTTAGCCACGTCATGTACGACACTGTAATACGTGCATAACATAGTACGGCGTTCCCCTTCAGAATTTTTATCACGCAAGGTTTCACCCTCAAGAAGTGAAAACGACTGCTATTGCACTATTTTATTACCTTATTAGAAGGAAAGGGTGCGTAAGATGCATTTAAGATAAGCCACTTCAATCCCTAAAGTAGAATTCATATTTGCCAAAGCTAGATTTCCTCCCATTGACCTGGAGGGAAATCTAGTTTGGTTGTCCATTATCTGACCTAACAGTTTCTAAATGCCCAGTTAAGCACTCGCCTCATGTGCATAGACCCGATATAGATTCCCTAATTTCTAGCAAAGCTAGTTCCACGGCATGTTATTCCAAATTTTCAGATTGTTTCTGTAATTTAAATCCTGTCGCAAAAATAATTCATGAGCTATTTGATGGGACTCATCTATTTTTCGGAATTGCAATTTTTTCCGCGGATTTCCAAATTTAATAAAAATCTGCTCTGTTTAAACTTATTCCAATACTTTTTTCCCGATCACTGCAAACCTTGCTTAAATAGATCGTGAAAGTCACCGAAGGGAACAGGAGAAGGGGTCGGGAGAACTGTCAAAATCCACAGCTATTTCTTCGTCTCATTGTCATTTGGGTCGACGACGAACAAACATAGACGTTTTGAAGCAGTGCTTCTTCAGTTAGGATGAAGTTCTCCACTCATTGCCAATATATTTACGAAAAATCTGATCAAAATTCAGCATACATACATACATTTACGTACAGTCAACTTATAATGTTTGCTGTCTTCTCGTCAGTCCGTCTGCCTATTTCTTTACATCGCCCGTTACGTATAGGAAATTAGTGAAAACAATGTCAGCTGCTTGTTTTCTGAAATTCTTGCAGAGTCAATTGACCCTTATGATTGAATTTAGTACATTCCAGCGTATCGTCATTGACAGTTTATCCTGTATATGTTTTACGATACAAAAATAAAACCAGTGAGTAAATGATCAAAGTGGTTAACTAAAGTCAGGTGGCAGCAATAATTTGAAAATATTATTTATGCAGAAACAAGTAATCAAAAAATCTCGGACAACTGTCTGATATCATATAGGCTTGTTGGAGACTAAAACTATTCGAATATGGTGGAAGTTATCTAATCCGGAACCATTTCCAATGATGGCTTCTCCAGGTTCAAAAAATTGGGCTAAATTTTCGAAAAACTTTATCCTATTTCGATATTGGCCGTGCAATGTTACATATTAGACTTTCTTATCATTTGAAATTCAACCTTATATGATGACACACTTATCTTGTAAAATAATTTCTAACACACTCATAACACTTCAGTATTCAGGTAAATGAATTTTTTATTCAATCCAAGCTATATTCAATCATCAGGGCAGAAAATGGCTAAAAGACCTTGGCTGTGTTCCGCAGTAAGCTCCCGTCGACGTATACCCACAGCTGCCGGTCGAAATCGTTCCTGGCCAGTACGGTCGCATGAGATGTGCAGACCGCTTATCTGAAATTGCCGGCTGAATGAAAGGCGCGTACGACACACCAGCAGAACGCATTTTGGGCATCGAGTGATGATAATGTTGAAGCAAGAATTGAGGGGGATGATAGCTTGTCAGTGAAGCTGAAAACTGGATCTAATCATTATTTAAAAAGTCAAAAATATTTGAAAATTAATTTGGATTGGGAAAAATTGAAATCAGAAATCAAATATTGCTTTAGAATTACAATTTATAACGAATTAACATCAAATGCTAAATATTACACATTGCACACTTCAAATTAAAAATACGGTATTTAGAAAGTTATTAGAAGTCTCGGACTGCCAATCTGTTGAAGAATTTGAAGATCATAACTTCTTAGAACTTGCTTGGTTTTGTAACTTTTATGGCTTCCAAACCGGCAAATTTGGTGATATGATACAAAAAATACCCTCAATATATAGTCCTTGAAGTCTCCAAAATATTGCGACACTAAGGTACTGAAAGTTTTGTAGCCATCTTACCAAGTGTTTTCAATATCGTAGTTTTTGATTTCTGAAATTCCCTAACAAAACAGCCACAGTTTTTGTGCTAGAAATATCTTATGTCTTCACACTTCAGAAGTTTGATACTGCTAAAGTTATGGGGAATATTCCAAGAACCGACTTGATTATTTAGGAATGAAAAAATACTATACGTCGATATTGCTGCGCCGATGTTGTGACTGCTGACACCAATTCACCACTGCAGTTACTTTGACAAGACTGTGCCAGTCTGTTGAAATCAAATCTGTAGGCGTAACGTTTTCCGTGGACCTAAAATAGTTATTTTGATCAGAAAAAACCGAAATATAAAACTTGTTATATTTTTTAATTTTTGCATTTCAACGAAGAGGAACTTGTTGGTTGCTCCTAATAGGCTTGCACATGTGTGTAGCATAAACTATTGGTTAATAATTTCTGAACTAAGAATGAAAAAATGCTATTGATAAAGAAGTGCTATAAGTGATACTTGGAATAGCTGTGCTTGGGTTACGTTAGCCTTTTAATAACAAAACAAAACAAAACGGTTTTTAATAAAAAAAGAAGTCGAGCTGATAGTTTTGAGTCTATTTTCTAAAAATTGATGGTCATTTATTTGTTCGGCCAGTAAAATCTTTCAAAAGGAAAGAAAACATTTCATATAGACTAGTAACTAAAGTATTCAGAAAAGCCTAATAAACAGATGTTTCAAAATTAATCGAGTACTTCATAAAATTGAAGAAATGTTTGAAATTATGAAAAAATTGGTGCTGTAACCTTTGTCATGATAT